TGGGATTCTCCAGCGAGAACTCGATGCGGATGCGCAGACCCTGTCCCTCCTGGATCATGGAGTAGCCCTCGGGCGGCACCTCTATCAGAAGTTCGCCATTGTTCACATCCGGATCGGTGATCTGGGCGGCGGTCAGATGGTGCATGGAGAAGACCTCCAGGTCGCGGCTCTTGGGATCCTTGTGCGAGATGTCCTGGAAGGGATCGAAGTAAACGAACTCCGCCTGGCAGACGTCATTCAGAACGACGCTGTAGATCCGCAGCTGTTTGGCATTCAGGCGGATGAGGCGCAGGTTCTCGCTGTTCGGCACTATGGTCAGCTCGACCACGCCCTAAAAGTGGGATGTGTGAGCATTAAACATAAGATTTATCTGAAATATCCTTACAATTATGCTCCTTCGTTCGAAACTGATGCCCGTGAGACTCACAACCTGATGCGCCGTGCTGGCGGAAAGAGAAAAATCGTTATTTTGGAATTCCTGAAAGATCTGGGATATACTTATAGTTTAAACGGTCGCAGCGGCACCTCGGGCACCTCAGGTTGGGTTTCCATCGCTCAGTTCACAGCTCTTCTCCAGAATTTCCCTAATAATTTGCGTTTGTTATCAAAAATCAAGAGCACTGTTTAACTTCTTCTTCTTCCTCTTGTGAATGCCGACAGGGCTACAAAATACCAAATATAACTCGGATTTATTGGCAACCCTGCATGATGATGCAGCCCTACATGCGTAGCTTAACACTTCTGTGATGTTCTGGTGTTAAATATGTGCCCTATACAAAAATAATAGCGCAAATGTTTTAAGCAGTTTCTTTGAATCCCTTCGTATTTTTAAATTGAATAAATCTATTTGGAAAACTAACTATACGCTTAGCAGTTTTCAGGTAAAAATAAATTGCTAATTATTGTTTTTACTTTGTCAAGAATTTACCTGTATATTAAGGTCATTCAATAAAATCGGTACGATAATGTTTACGTATGTAAACAAATTTGTTTATTAATTAAATTGTGTAATTGAGTGTCAACTCTTTTAAACATTATATTCCATATTCAAATGAAAAAAAATTGTTTCCACAAGGGTTAAAGATTATGAATCATTTACTGAGAAAGTTAATTTTGGATACATCTCCCATTTAAAGCGTACAATTCCCGACGAGTCAGCAGTTTTTTCACGGCAGCGAGTTAATCAACATCTGGTTACAGATAGTTCCCTAGTTTTAGCCGATTTAGAGCGCCATCAGTCCGTAGATTTAGGAAAAACCCGTGCGTGGAAGGGGAATATTACAATAAAAACCCAGTGAAAATGTACGGCATTGATAATTACCCCAAGAATTATCATGCCAGTGGCATTGGCCTTGTTAATTTGGCGGCCTTGGGCTACAGCAAGAATGAAGTCAGCGGCGGAAGTGAAGGAGGAGGAGGAGGAGGAGGCGGCGGAGCACCCAAACCCAAAGCGGGTCTCTACCCCTCGCTGCCCTATCCATCATCCGAGTCCGTGGGCGGAATGCCATATGTGGTGAAGCAGACGAGTCACGCCCAGAATGCCTCGTACCAGGGACCCGGAATGGGTATGGGCATGGGAATGCCCATGCCAGGAGCGCCATCAGCACCAGCACCCTATCCGAGTGCCACGCCATACCCGGGTGGTGGTCTCTATCCGAGTTTGCCATCCGCCAACGCATCGTCGACGTCGCTGCCGTACCCCACTGCCTCGCTGGCCCCCTACCCATCCGGAATGCCCTACCCAACTGGAATGCCACAGCCCAATCTTCCTTATCCTGCTGCTCCACTGGCACCATATCCATCCGCCATGCCCGGTTTGCCCGGCATGCCAATGCCGTACGCTCCGATGCCAACGAGTCCGGCTCCGCAGCATGGCGGGGGATTCCCGGCTCTGCCATATCCGACGGCTCCACCACCGGCCAGTGCCCCAACCCAGGAGGAGGAGCCTTCGGTGGGCATTGCCGAACTGAGCTTCACCAGCGTCAAGGTGCCGGAGAACCAGAACATGTTCTGGATGGGCCGCAAGGCCACCAGTGGCCGGCAGAATAGCGTAAGCAAGGGAGATTTTGAGTCGCTTCGCTCGAGCTGCGTGGCGAATGGAACCATGTTCGAGGATCCCGACTTTCCGGCCACCAATGCCTCGCTGATGTACTCCCGGAGACCCGATCGCTACTACGAGTGGCTGCGTCCTGGCGACATCGTCGACGATCCGCAGTTCTTCGTGGAGGGCTACTCGCGATTCGATGTTCAGCAGGGAGAGCTGGGCGATTGCTGGCTCCTGGCTGCAGCCGCCAATCTTACGCAGGACTCCAAGCTCTTCTTCCGGGTGATCCCGCCGGATCAGGACTTCCAGGAGAACTACGCCGGCATCTTTCACTTCAAGTTCTGGCAGTATGGCAAGTGGGTGGAGGTGGTCATCGATGACAGGCTGCCCACCTACAATGGCGAGCTGATCTACATGCACTCAACGGAGAAGAACGAGTTCTGGAGCGCCCTACTGGAGAAGGCCTACGCCAAGCTGCATGGTTCTTATGAAGCTCTCAAGGGTAAGAACAGACGATACAGAGAACCCTTATCAATAGTTCTAAAAAATGTAGAACTAAGTGGTATAACATATCTTGTTTTAAATTCCTTTCTAAAAATACTCCATGCTTATCATAGGTTCTTTAATAATATTTATGCTAATGTGATCCATTTTGAATTTTTTTAATATCTTGTTAACTTTTGCGTTAAAATGAAAAATAATATGTAACAATATTATTAAGTACAAGTTATAATATCTAACCACTACGCTTCATATTTAGGCGGCACCACGTGCGAGGCCATGGAGGACTTCACCGGCGGCGTCACCGAGTGGTATGACATCAAAGAGGCTCCTCCAAATCTATTCAGCATTATGATGAAGGCCGCCGACCGTGGCTCAATGATGGGCTGCTCCCTGGAGCCCGATCCGCATGTTCTGGAGGCCGAGACGCCTCAGGGTCTGATCCGCGGCCATGCCTACTCCATTACCAAGGTGTGCCTCATGGACATCTCGACGCCGAATCGCCAGGGCAAGCTGCCCATGATCCGGATGCGTAATCCGTGGGGCAACGACGCCGAGTGGAGTGGTCCGTGGAGCGATAGCTCGCCGGAGTGGCGCTTCATACCGGAGCACACGAAGGAGGAGATTGGACTGAACTTCGACCGAGACGGTGAGTTCTGGATGTCCTTCCAGGACTTCCTCAACCACTTCGATCGCGTGGAGATCTGTAACTTGTCGCCCGACTCTCTAACGGAGGATCAGCAGCAGAGCTCTCGCCGCAAGTGGGAGATGTCCATGTTCGAGGGTGAATGGACATCGGGCGTAACGGCCGGCGGTTGCAGAAACTTCCTGGAGACCTTCTGGCACAATCCGCAGTACATTATCTCGCTGGAGGATCCCGACGACGAGGACGATGATGGCAAGTGCACGGCTATTGTGGCCCTGATGCAGAAAAATCGGCGCAGCAAGCGCAACGTGGGCATCGATTGCCTGACCATCGGATTTGCTATATATCACCTGACGGATCGGGACATGCAGGTTAAGCCCCAGGGACTGAACTTCTTCAAGTACCGGGCATCGGTGGCCCGATCACCGCACTTCATAAACACGCGCGAGGTGTGCGCCAGGTTCAAGTTGCCACCCGGTCACTATCTGATCGTTCCTTCGACCTTCGATCCCAACGAGGAGGGTGAGTTCATCATTCGCGTCTTCTCCGAGACCATGAACAACATGGAGGAGAACGACGATGAGGTGGGCTTCGGCGAGACGGATGATCGCATTGCCCCGGCTCTGCCGCCACCAACTCCGAAGGAGGAGGACGATCCACAGCGTATTGCCCTGCGTCGCCTGTTCGATAGCGTGGCTGGCAGCGACGAGGAGGTCGACTGGCAGGAGCTGAAGCGCATCCTGGACCACTCGATGCGCGATGTGATGGTGGGCACGGATGGCTTCTCCAAGGATGCCGTGCGTTCGATGGTGGCCATGCTGGACAAGGATCGCTCCGGCCGCCTGGGCTTCGAGGAGTTCGAGGCCCTGCTTACCGATATTGCCAAGTGGCGGGCGGTGTTTAAACTATACGACACCCGTCGCACTGGCAGTATCGATGGTTTCCATCTGCGCGGAGCGCTCAATTCGGCTGGCTACCATCTGAACAATCGGCTGCTGAACGCTTTGGCCCACCGCTATGGATCGCGGGAGGGGCAGATACCATTCGACGACTTCCTCATGTGTGCCATCAAGGTGCGGACATTCATCGAGATGTTCCGCGAACGGGACACGGACAACTCGGACACGGCCTTCTTCAACCTGGACGACTGGCTGGAACGAACCATTTACTCTTAAACTACTTGCAATTGATACTAATCTAATCCTAAGTGCCACATTTACTTAAGCTTATTGTGCATTATTCATGCCTGCTAGATCCATGACGATACAGCCCGGAGATCGGAGATCGAGAGAGATTCACTCACTTAGCCAACAAGAGAATCTTATCGGATGACCAAATCCGGAAAGAAAAATTGGACTGGCCTTGGAATGGCACGAGGTCGCAATCCGCGATAAACGATACATATATAACCCGCATACACAATTTATACAATCCACTCTGTAGATTTTATACTATATAGAGAGCAGCTGGAGGGATGACTAAGAGCGAGCATCACCTCGACAAGAGCCGGAAATTTGCTAGTACAAACTGAAAAGTGCTTTACTACCTTACAACAGCCATCACATACGCATCAACAATATTAGATATTACGGAATGAATAAGCATGTATTTTTTTAACATCGGTATATGTGAACCGCCCATTACATATTTGACCAGGTGCTATAACTATATCCAATCAGACTCTGTTGCCAAGACAAGCGTTGTTATTGTTATCAGGGAACGAAAGCGAAGCGAACAGAACCAATAACTCATCGAATAATTATTAGCGTAATCGGGATATGCAAATATCAGTAAATTTATTGAATAACATTTAAACATGAAGTTCCCCTTTAATTTGTTTTTAGCTTTTTATCAGTAATCTCAAGATCCCTAGCACCCCTTACTTCAAAATAAGTGTTTTCTAAGTGTTAAACTAACTCAAATTCAATTAATTGGGATAAGAGGCTTTTTGTTGGACTATAATTTTTGTGAACAATTTTACTAATCAAAATTATGTATCTTTATGTAATTGTTACTATCGAAAATTGATTTGTTGTATGCCTTCTTTTTTATGTAAATAAATAAACAGCAGAAATGCACGAGTACATCTATTTGACGACTATGACCATGTCGGCTCCACTGGGGACTCCAGCATCGATCATTACCTGTTTTATTTCATCTATTGGTATGTCATTGTCGATGGCCAAGCTGTTTAGGACCTCTAAAAAGTCTTCGTATTCCAGACGCCATTTCCTAAAAATGAAATAAGGAATAGGTATTAAAATGAATCCGTAAATATGGGCTAAGTAGAAAACAAGACTAAATTTCAATACACTGAAAATGTATTGTATTTATATTTAGCTTAGGTATATCTTTCCATAAATTTAACTTACTTATATCGCATATAGATAAGACCCGTCTGAGTTCGTGTAATAGGATTTGGCATGAGTTTGGCCTGCTCCAGCCAGGCATCCAGTTGTGAGAGGAGAATGCTGTCGAAAACCTCGTTCTCAATATCCGTGGGTATCACCTGATGCCAAATAAATTGACTGATGGATAATACTCTCATAGACCGATTCGTAATACCTGAAAATTGGCGTACACCAGGAAGAGGCTGTCCAGAGTGTGCTTCTTTGGTTTATCTTCGTCATCGGCCATGGTTAATTTTTTAGTCAGCACTTCATAAAATCGATTGTGTTCAAATTAGAATTGAGTTTTTTGGCAGATAAAGCAAAGTATTCTATGTGGGTATTGAGTCTATATGTATTTCGAATTGTTTTGTTGATAAACAAAGCGCTCAGAGAATGGGGAGGAAGGCCATTATCAAGACAACTGTTGCCATGGGCACAGACGTCGTTTTCCTATTGTTCACTGTAAAAGTTGGCGACGATGCGTCGGACGTTCTCCAGTAATTTTGGGTCACACCCCTGGCTTTTGATATTTTCCACTGCATAAGGGGCTTCTATGAACACCCGATGCAGTATATTGATGGCCATGTTGCTGCCTTGGTTTTGCCACCTGACATTGGCATCGCCGAAATGCTTGGCCATCATCCTAAATAGGGATTTTCCGTAGTTCCATCCACTGCAAATGCAACGCCGTTCGGTTGTCCGTCGCAATCGCTCTTGAAGCTACCAATGGACAATGGAAGAATTGTGGGTCTTGAAATGAATACAGAAAAACAATACCATCTGGATATTGATCGGTTCTGGCAGTTGAACATCCTCTGGGGGCAGCATTTCCATGACGATCTCAATGTCCACGCACATGGAAAGATTCACAATTGTGGTTTTGTAGGTGGTCTGCTGATCACCACCATCTTTGCTCCATGGACACTTCATCATCAGCATTTTAACGCCCAGATCAAAGGCCACTACCTGGCGGTTTGCAATTATTATATAATAATTTTTAAGTAAATAAATAAATAATAAAATGTACCTCTCCCGAAATATTCTCGCCAAAGCAAGTTGTACATCGCACTATTGAGCCCGGGGTGAAACAAGGAGCCAAAAACGACATTTTCGCAGGCTGAGAAATAAATGCTGAATATCACAGTAAATTATACCCGATTTCAAGTTCAAAGCATTCCCCGTTTTCTATAGCTTCGCCGCCATGCTGTCGTCGCAAAAGTCCGTTGTGCTTGAGGTTTTATTTCTTTTTATTTACAGTGTATGTATGCTAATTTATAATGTACTAAATATAAATGTTGTATATATATATATTTCAAAAGTAAACCGTTCCTTTTAATCATATATATATATATATATATATATGTATATTTAATTTCGCAGTTTAGCAGTTGCTGTCTAAATTGTTGTTTCTGCATGAGCGTTGCTTGTTCTCTGTTGTTCAAGAAGTGTTGCTTTGTTTATTTTCATTATAATTATGTATGTATGGTATATATGCGCGTATGTATGTACCTTCTTTAGCACTATTAGCATACCCTTTAGATGATTTCTAACGCCAAAAAACAAAACGCTTTCTTCTGCTTTGGCGGGAACTGAGAACTGAGAAGAGTGCATCGGATAAAATCTATGCAACACAAAATCAAAGCGTATCAACGAATACGTAATGAATAAATACCGAAATAGTTGCAGGACAGGCACAAACGGATAACAAATCGGACACTTAAACAACAAAACTGTACAATCTCTAAAATGGAGCCTGAAGATTCAATGAACGGGTTGCGAGTGGCTTGATCGGTCGCTGATCTAATTACTAATGACTGCCTACAGTTCTGTGTTTCTCTTTTAGCACTTTAATGGTAGCTGCTCCTGCGACTCTCGAAATATTTGCTTTCAGTATAGTGTTTGTTTTATTTAGTTAGTTACGGCCTTAACATCCTAATTATGCTTTTCAAAATCACTTTAAAGTTTAAACGGGTACCTCCTTCCTTTCGATAATTTAGCTAGGTTTGCTATTTGTTTTTGCACGAAAATAAGAATTTTTAGCTGAACTGCTGGAGAAATGTTCACATGTTCCGTCTGCAAATTGGCTGCTTGTGTTTAGTTAAATTTAATATCAAAAGGAATGATATATATGAATAATATATATATATAAAAATAAAACAATGCACTTTCTTTGCTGCTGGCCCCGTGCTTTAGCTTTACATTGGCCCATCGATGGCGCTCACTTTAAGGCGGAAATAGTAGGCGGAGCGGGCCAGCATGCACCCCGCAATCACGAACAGCGCCACATAGAGGATATACATGCCACCGTGATTCTACAAAGAAACAGAGTAAGTAAATACTTCCATAAGTAAGGGGTAAGCCAAACAAATTTGCCGTTTTGAAAAGGGCAAATGTTTATGTGGTGCTCCTTTTCCAATTTCCTAATAAGCAACTTACCGAAGCATACGAGAATGTGCCTATGGTTACGCCAATGCCTGCGATGAGGAACACCAGCGCCACAATGGCGAACATTACGCCGCGGCTATTGGCGAATCGCGAGCCCACCGACGACACCTTTCTGCAGTGTGGACAGCGGGCCAGGGCGTTGTGATACGTGTTGAACTGCAAGAGCTAGCTTTAGAAGATTCCTCAAGGGGCTAAATCTGTGTGGAAGCTCACCAAAAACGTGTCCGAACAGTGGCCACAGGTGACGCGGCACATGCCCGGCATGGTGGGCACGGGCGGGGTGACGGGACTCGGGGCCAGGTTGATGATCCTCTTGCAATTGGGCCTGGGACAAGCGATGCGCTGCGAGGAGCTCTTGCAGATAAGCAAACAGTTGCATGGGCACCGGACGTACTTCTTGCCCGGCGGAGCGTTCCTTATGGGCTGTGAATAGGGAAAAACGTTAGTATTTTCCAGGCTTTGTTTCAACGGCATTGGCAAAAGTACAACTCACAGTAGCCTCATTGCAGTGGGTGCACTTGACCACGTGCTGCTCCCGCTTCGTGGTGATGTCAATCATGTGCTGACATACCCGACAGGTGACCATGGGCACGCCTCCGGTGTTGGTGCTCTGCTGATACGGCGGCGGCAGCTCATCGGGTCCAATGCACGGCACCGCTGTCGGTGCTCCATTGCCTAAAATGCAGTGTACAAATGAAACGATCAATATAATGAAGAGATTAACCCTCGAACAGCAATGCCTGACCTTTGGTGTAAAATAAATACATCTCGCCAGCAGAGTGCTCTCAACCACACTGCTCATCACGTAAAGATTGCACTTAGGAGAGTGTAAGAACTGCATTTTCTGATAGTGTGTGGGTCGGAGAAGCTGCGATAAAGCCAAATGGGTCAATGTTTTGGCTCTATGAATGCAGCGTTCCTGTCTTGGCATTAAACTAGTGCAGCTAGACCGCAGTCGCGGTACTCGGCTCTCGATCAAAACAAGTTCGAACTTTGTGCAAGAAGAATATAAATATAAGCAAGGCAGGAGGGGAAGACAAAGAAAGGCACCGTTTGCGTACTCTTTCTGAGAAGATTGCATGGATTTCGTGGTTCATTTTGCAGAACTAAAATAGTTACTAAAAGGTTGTTACTAAAACGTTTGCTGTTGTGCCGGTGGCTGGATTTTTATTGAATTTTTATTTTGATTTTATAGATATCAATGCCCTACTTTGTATGCATTACTGATTATTAATTATTTTTACATTTGAGTCAAATTACCTGCATCATTAGACCAGACCAAGTATTTTTAAGTAATTCGCTACTTTGCGGGACATAAAAATGATGAATGTTGTAATGTGTGATATTTGTTTTAAATAATATCTGTATATTAATTGTAAAACAAAAATAATTATAGTTGACTAGCTCCGTTTATCAGCTATAACATGCCAAGAGTTTCCCAACCAGATTTTTTTAAGACTGCAGGAAGACGCTTTTAGAATCGATATAAGGTTGTAATTTACGATTTTATGGTATCATCTGGTGGTCGTAAACCTTGAACACCCTCTGTAACTGAACTCTAAAAGGGTATTATAACGATATGGCTGAGCTTTTCCTGAGCTGAAGATCAGGTTCCTTGGCAAACAATGGAGGCGCTGCCCATCGCATGCCCTCAGTGCCTTCAATTTCGCCCTGCGCTGCGATAAGGCAGCGAATCACATGATGACTCATGGACTCGGCAAACCCCCCGCTTTACCACCACTTTATCACCACCGCCAAATCGATGCTGATTAAACAGCTGTGGGGAACGCTTTTTTTTTACTGATTAAGGCGTCCTAGCATAAACAATAACAAAGGCAGTGCGAAAAATTGGCCGACACCGGTATATCGGGTTGCTAGAAACGCGTAGACTGTGAAAAAAGTAACTCAAAACATAAGTTTGACTTGTGATTAATGTTAAATGGTGTTGAGTTTCACATATTTTCAAGTAAGATGGAATAAACAAATTAAGGGCTCAACTGCCAGCGCCGTCCGTTTTTTGTTTTAAATAGTTTAAGAATATTAATACAAGCCATTACAAATCAAATTGAAATGTTTCCAGTCTGTATGCAAAATGATGTGGAAAATCATAAAATGGTTCATTATTTCTTATCAATATGTTCTGTCTGGGAATTCGAATTTTGTTTAAAAATATGACCTAATAGGCGGTTGTGACAAAAATACGTGTTCAAATGCATTATTCATTTTTTCTCCGCAATAAATAATTGTTGAATATTTTAAGGATCAACCTAAAATTCAATAAAATATTGATTTGACAATGGTATGTAACTGGGAAAATGATACGATTTGATAAGTTCGGATATACTTTGGACTACATCATTAAGATATGATCATATCACTTTTTCTTTCTTAGCTTGCCCCAAGTAACTCCTCTAAAAGCTTCAAATACAAATTCGTATGTTTTTAGATATCATATCAATTTTTTTTTCTGTGTTTCCCCACTATGACTCAGTTGGGAAGATGGGAAGTGTGAAAATGCCAAGTGAGACGTGCAGCCAACTTCGAATCACGGCTGCGGATAAGTAGAGCACCCGCACACTTGTTGGGCTTCCAAAAAACCCAACCGCCCGGCTAGCTGAACCGATTGGATGCGGGTTGAATGCCCGGCTTTATGGTCACGATACGCACCGTCCTCGTTGGTGGCCACCGATGAGCTGCTCCCCGGATTGTCGGCTCCATCGTCCACGGCGTCCACGGAGTTGTAGCCATTGCCCTCGTCCTTGTTGATCAGGCTCTGACGCTCTGGATCCGCCATGCTGGATTATCTCCCGATCCGATTACTTCCGATACTATCTGGATTATCTGCGTAGAGCAACTCCCGTTAGTTGCACTTTTTGGCTGCCGCTGCTTTTGTTGTTGTTGCTGTTGTTGCTGCTGCTGCTGCTGCAACGCGTACTTTTCAACTGGAAAATGAGGAGGAAAAGCCAAAATTTAGGCGTTGTGCCACATATTTCCCATCGAGTTCTTTGTTCTTGATTTCTGCAGTCACTTGTTCGTCGCGGTTTTCACTCTCGTTTATTGAAAACACATCCTCCCTTTTTTCCCTTCTCGGCATGCGCCGCAATTAATCAATTTTCGCCCACTGTAAGTGCAACGCCCACGCAGGCTATTTGTCGCTTTTACACTTATTACAACAGCTTATTGGTCCCGCATTTCATCTAATTGTTTAACAATTGTTGGCCATATTTGTGTTATATTTTACCTTATTTTTGTTGAAAATGCACTGCCGTCGATTTGCGATCTGGCCACACTGTAGATGGTTACCTGGCAACGCTGTACCAGGTGGTGGCAACTGAAACGATAGCCCTGGAAGGGAGTTGCCACTTCAGGGAGTCACTTAAAAGTAAAATGTTTTTAAAGAATTTAATTAAGTTAAGCTATTAATCAATATTCGAAAATGTTAAACATTAAAAGGAAATACGTATAACTTTCCAAAAACCTTAGTAAAGTGCAGACCAAAGAACCAGCTCAAAAGTTTCAATGAACTAGTGCTCATTTTGGAACCAAAACAATTCCGCCACGGTTGATAAACAGAAATGTCTAAAAAGGCCAAAAACTCGGATGTAAATCACTGTCGGGACTCTGAAAGCTCCGAAGAGTCTTCAAATAGCAGCAATACCGAAAACAGCAGAATTAGGGTTTTCAAAACTAGCAGAAAACACAAACTGCGTCGCAGATCTTCCCGAGCTTCTTCATTTCATTATCAAGCGCTGCCCATGCGCATAGTTGGCGATAATTCCGTGATAATACCAGATATTCCCTGCTCCTCTCGAGATATAACTCTTCAATCCGCACATATTATCGAGGACAGTACCGATTCGGAGTTCCATATCTCGAATGATACCAGCAATGATGAGCCGGCTAACAAATCCGTTACGTTTGCAGCCAGACCAATAGAAAAACCCGATTTGGAGTTTATAAGAAAATTAAGCAAACGCAAGAAACGTAAAAGTAAAACATTGTATAAAGATTAAAACACAATTTCAAATAGCAACTGCCAACCAGGGTTACCAAAACCAAACGCTCCGCAATTGCCCAACACTGCCAGCAGACACAGGGTTGGCTAATGCATTTTTGGAGTAGTGGTCAATTTTTACGAGCATAACTATTTACACTGATTTTATGTAAATAAAACAAACAATACGTAGGAAAATTAAGTGCAAAGTGTAAGTAGGACATGTGGCCTGCCGGGGAGTATGAAATTTCAGGTATGGCCCATGGAATTACAGGTGAAAATCGGTGATGATTTCATTTTCTCGCAGCGCGTTGTTGTATGGGAAACTTCGTCGTATTTTACCATATTGTTGCTGTTGTTGCTGCTCATCATGCTTTTGTTGTTGTTGCCGCAGCTGCTGCGTCACAAAAAGTGTTTATATTATTCGACATTATTTACAATTTAAAGACAAAACCGCCTGCCGTTGTAGGGCATCGTAGAACAACAACAACAACAACAACAACAACAACATCAGCGAAATCAGGGCAAACACCTGTTCCTAATTGATTTTTCACACTTTCCAACAATCCCACAGAACAATTCACCCAAAAAACCTAACTTCGACTACAAACAACAACTGTGTTTTGGCATTTTTAATCACAGCAATTAAAAACATAGCAGCTTAAAAGCACGGAAAAACCCACATATGCAGGAATAGACCAACCATAGTACCTAGTATTGAGTAAAAATTAAAATCTAAATCAATTCGAACGAACGAAATTTCAAACCTAGTTTGACCACCGATTAGTACACAAAAACAAAGTCAGAAGCGAAGATAAATCAGTGGAAATATGGAATCGCCACCGATGTTCAACAGCGTCGAGGACGAGTGCAGATATTGGAAGGAACGCTCCAAGCAGTACCACAAAGAGTGAGTATCAAACACATCCCCATTAATGTCATAAAATCCCTATAAAACCATTGAAATTCCTAGGTGGACAGACGTGAAACAGGAATACGACGAATTTGTGGAGCAGTCCCGTGAAATGGAAATCGAAATGGACGCCACTCTGGACCAAAAGCAGAGTATAATCAAAGATCTCACAGCCAAGCTCACAATGTTTGAGCGGGAAAACGAGTCCCTCAAGGTGGCTATATCTCAAACCCAATTTGCACGACCTGAGTTTTTATCTAAGTGTCAAGAAAACTTCCTTAGTCCATTTATCGTTTTTAATTTAAATTTGTTTTACCAGCTTTCTAAGGTGTTTGGAAAACTACACAATCATTTTATATGCTGAATTGTTGCCCGTTTTCTTTTTGAAGCTACTTAATTTTACTATTAAATCGATTTCGACTTAAGTGTTAGATTTATTTGTATGGATTCTCATTCTAAAAACTCAGGTCCTGCGACTTGTACTTTCCCCTATTATAAAGATCCCTATTCACACATTTTTTTAACTCCAGCTCAAGTTGGACTCGCATGGCATTGAAATGTCAAACATGGAGAAGCAGCTGGAAACAGTAAAGAAGGAGCGCGACACCATGAAGGTGTATCTGCGGCAATTGGAGCAGAAGAACGACGATCTGGAGCGTGCCCACCGCATACTAAACGAAAGCATAGAGAACTTCGAAAAGATGCTGGATCAGGCGTACGAGAAGAACGCACTTCTAGAGCTGGAAGTGGATGAGAAGGGTTTGTTGCAGGAGAAGCTACAACGGCTGATGGACGAGACGAGAGGTGGGTGCTTGATATCCAGCTGCCCATTCCATACTTAATACTTGTCCCACGGTGTATTGCAGATCTCAAGCAGGAGCTTAATGTCAAGTCACGCTTTACCCCAGTGGTCAATGGAACGAGCATTCCCACGGCCAGCGACACCAACACGGTGAACAGCTCCATGAACTCGTCCGCCTCGCTGCCAAACGGCATTGTGGCCAACGGTGATCTGGCGAACCACGACAATACCGCTGTCGCCACAAGAACCACCAGCGTCAGCGTGAACGCCCTCAATGGAAGTTTAGTTAATAGAAACGAATATAGCCAGCAGCATTCGCTTAAAAGTAAGATACTCAGTTCCCTAAAGAAAACCAGATACGCGCTAAAACTGTCCAAGTCGAGTCGCCAAACGTTCAAGCCTTGCAATTAGTTTTGTTCCTTATTTGTTTTTTACATGTTTGTCACAAAGTTAGCAGGTTTAAGTTCTTTATTATTTGTAATTGCAATTGTAAGTTATTAAAATTAAGTGGCCAAATGTGACGAGAGAGAGTTTGCAACATTTCTTGTAGGCGAATTGTGCGTTTTGTGTGCGTCTGTAGCTAAGTAGTTGACCAACTAACCTCTCGACTAACCTGCTGTGTATGTGTGCTTCCTCTTGCAGATCCCGAGAACCAACTCAATGGCAATTCCATGAACCCCAGCTCCCGCACAACGGCGCTCAACATTGTGGCCGACATGTTAAGAAAACTAAACGTAAGTCCCTTCGTAAACTATGAACCCCAGCCTGCCAGAGTCCTCAGAGTCCAGAATCCTTGTTCCCTGTGTTTTGTTTACATTTTATTTCCTTGTACACCCACCCACACTCCCATCACCAGCTTATGTGTTTTTCCGTATGTTTTTAGTGGGACAAGGCCCTGCTATGTCCCGAGTGCGAAAAGTTTCGCTGCATTTGCGAGCGCCCGGCGACTCTGCAGCCGCCGCCATCGGCCAGCGAGTCTAGTCTCTTTCGCCGCGCCTTTGGCGGCAGCAGCAGCTCAGTGGCCACCAGCGCCCAGTCCACGCCCGCCAGCGATTGCAGCTCCTCCGGCGGCCTCAGTGCGGGCTCGAATATTTTCAAGCGCTTCGCCGAGCGCATGCGCAACTCGCCGGACGCCAGCCTGCCGCTGTGACCATGCGCTGCGATCCATATGGCTAGTTTTAGTTGCCCTCCGCTTGCATTTATTAATTGCATTGGTTAATAAATACAACATTTATTTGTACCTTATTTTGCATTCTTTGTTTTCGTTTATTGAACACTTTTACCCTAATTCCAATGGCACAATTCCTAAATATAGGCTAATTTTGAAAGTAAGATCCTGGAATCCCACATTTTGTGTTCTTTCATCATCAGAACAAATGATTAAGTGGAAAACCAGTACTAGAATTAGCTTCGTATGGATACAGGTGCCAGCAGAATGGTGGATTTTACCACTGATTGATTTATCAAAGCTAGCCATTATTAAATTATTATTTTATTACATAAATACATCTGAAAATCTTTTTCGAATCTCATTTCAAGATTTGATTATAACATTTATTAGTATTAGTTAACTTAACTAAAAACTTTGGGAACAAATAGTATTTTAACTTTGTCTTTATTAAGTAGCTTAACTAAAACTCTTCAAACTAATTTTTTGTTAGTTTTAAAATCAAACACTGTGGTCTTAAAAAATTATTCATATTTATATTTTAAGATTAATTATTAGCACAAGTATGGTTAACAATTTGAGAATTTTGTTATTTATTTATAGGTTTTTCGAGTGCCTTAAACATAAAACTTATGATTGGTTATAGTTCTTTAAATGTATTTTAGTTAATTATAACAACATTTGCTTGATTTATCCAAGTTTGTCTAATCTCCTGTCACTTCTGTGTTCTTGCAGGCCATGGAGACGAAGCTGAAGACGTACCGCGAGAATGGCCAGCCCATGCCGCAGCGGCTCCGCTCCGCGCAACAGTCCACCCATCCGGCGCTGGCCGGACTTGCTTGCCTCTCGCTGGATGCCGAGTAATGGTGGTCACCGCCTCCTCCTCCTCCTCCTCCTCCTCCTCCGCCTCCGCCTTCTCATCCTCATATTCATCCTTATCATCAAGCATATCCCCAATCATCAAGGGCGGGACACGGTTTAGTCGGCTTTACGTTTACGTTACGTTACGTTAATGTTACTGCTAGCATTAATTTTGCTTCTGCTGCCTCTTTATTTATTTGACCTTACTTGACTTGTATAAATCATTTGCGATATTATAAATTAAACAACAGTTGATGTTGTCGTTCTCGAGCCCAACATATAAAATGCCTTAGTACGAATTAAGAGTATATCTAGCACTAAGCCCCACTCGGTTCACTTTGACTTCAATTGTTTTGGCATACAATGTGTTTAGCGAGTAAGTTTAGAGATGATATCCCAGCAAAAGAAAACAAAAGCGAAGAAGCTCTGTCCAAGTATTATACTTCAAGCGGACAACAAATACTCGTAGCGTTTAGGAAAAAAGACAAGATCTAACCCGAAAACACAACCGATCACCTAGTTATATACTGTAACTATACCAAGAGCTATTTTCTGTTTATATTTACGACGAATATAAATTTGTAAAAATGCAATATTGTTAACATCAAACTGTATAAAGCATAACACAAAATCCAACGAACAGGCAAACAAAAAAATATATATATATGAATAAAGAGCAACATAATTAGTTTAATAGTAACCCATACGCATTTCAAAGTCAACAGCAAAGCTGCGTGTGTTGCAACTACTTAGTTTTCAATAATATTTGAGTTCATTACACAAGGTGAATGCTGCGTCAATTCCTATGCCAAGGCCAAATTCCCGATTCAAAAGCTTTTGTGCAGGGGAAGTTCCCCGTTTTTAGACCAATTTCATTGCGGATTTTTCGAAGCTTTACCCCTTAGGAAGTTTTCAGTGGGATTGGGAGTGGAAGTGGGAGTGGGAGTCGGCAGGTGGATGAAATAAACTGAATGTGAAGTACCGACCTTGCTGTCGGGAAGGTCCGTTGGCGGTAAGCTAATGCAAGTACTCTGGTTTTTATTTAAGTAAGCGCGGGCTAGCGTCCTCGTCATCGTCCTCGAGTCCTGGTATTTAGGTGAGCCAAAGCATGGATGGAAAACATCTCTTCAGATGGAAAATCTCCCACAGCAAATGCTTAAGCCAAAAGCGAGAAGAATGAAAATATGACACAAGCTTTTATCATACGCAGAGCACTTACCAGGGACAGGGACCTACTTTCTGGTGTTGCTCCTCTTGTTTGCTGCTGAGTGCATTGTTTACCGGAGGCGGAGGCGGTGGCGGGCCAGGGGGCGTGGCAGCAACCATAAGCGGATTGGAAATGGCACAATGCAATTGCCGTTTGAAATAAAAGTGAGCAGACAGCAGACAAAGCCAGCCGTGGTTGAGTGCACCGAAAAACAATTGGGATACAATTGGAGATCAAAACTCAGTTGGTAAGTAAAGCCTTAAAAACTAAATTACATTATATATTTTTTATTATTTTAAAATGTATATTTTGTACCAAAACCGATACAAAATTCAATGCCTAGGAAAACGGTTTTATGATGTGATGAAGCAGTTTAGATCCAGTACATACCATAGATAGGTCAACAAGTCATAGTTAATTAAATTAAAATTATTTATTCCTTTTGTACCCTTCTTAGCTAAACCTTTGTTCTATTTTTGGCTTATACAACTTACACGCTTGAATAAAAGAATGATGTTAAATTCTAATCGGCCAAAAAGTCAACCAATTTTATGCAATTATAGTTAGTAAAGGTTTTGGTAGGTTTTACTATAAATGTTTTTTACTTCAAAATTTTATAAAAAAAGTAAGTTAAATGAATTTAAATTATAATCAGTTGATATAAAGTAAAAAATTTAAATTATTTCTATAAGTGTGGTGGTAAGAGAAGAAGTGGACAGTGAAGGTCATCCCTCTCAGTTCTATTTTTTCAAAAGTAGAAGATTTGAAGAATCTGGCCCGGTTTTTTTGCCGTCGCTGTCGCCTTATGAAGTCCTGTAAGAGGGGCGATCTCTGGCAGCTAATTAACTGGCCGCGAGTACAATTTCCCGGCGAGTACAAAGGTTAACAATCAGGACCTGGCCAACTTCACAATGGGCGGGTCAAGCGGGTCAAACGCAACAGCGAACCCGATTCCCTCTGCAAACAAACTCAATTGTTTCGGCATCAAAAACGAGCAAACAGCTCGTAAAAAACTGTATCAAACACTGGCTTGAAGTGGAAGCTCTCGAAATGCCACAAAAAAAAAAACAGGGTGTATGGTCTGTTGGCCAAATTATCGCAGTCGTTAACCGAAGGTCTTAAAGGTTTTGTTGCTTTGGCATAACTGGAAGTGCAGTTAAAGTCGTAAATGACAGAGAAATGTTGTTAAGTTCTTTTTGAAGAGTAAATCGTATTTGGCCTTAAATTAGTTAAAGTAATTTTAGAAGTCTCTTTATCAATGAATATAGAAAGTACAACCAAATTAAAATTCAATTCAAATAAAAATGTATTTTATTCTTTTTTTATGCCTTAATTACTTGCTCTTTAATTTATACATACCAAACATATATATTTTTTTTTACAAATTTAGTATTGTATATAAAATAAGCACAAATGCTAGAATAATCAATTGCAATTTGGGAGACTTAAAATATTTATATATAAATGTTTTTTTCCTGTTACAATATTTGAGAAAAGGAAACTGAATTTCGATTCCCTCTGTATCATTATCTCCTAATACCTTTTTCCTGAAATTTTGGCTTCCATATATTTCCACTTCCTGCGGCACCCTCTAAATTGCGGGGTGGCCAAAGTTTACGGCATTTATGCTATTTAAATATTTAAAGGACGCGGCGCGACGTCGTAATGTACACAAACGGAAATAATGATGAGGTGTGCTCCGGACTGTCTGTGCGTGTGTGTATGTGTGTGTGTGTGTGTGTGTGTGAGTATGCCTTTGTTTTTGGTGCTTTGTGGGCGCCCGAGGGCCAAAAGCCAGGACTATCCACTCCGTACAGCCACATAGCCATATAGCCCTGCCTAAACATCAAACAAAATCGATATGTGGGCGGTCTATATGATTTTTGGCATAAACAAGCAACAAGCAGGGCACACACACAGGATACTCACACACACAGGATCACATAAACCAGGCCGGGGGGGGCCGTTTACAGGTTTGGTCCTTGCTTTGTTTGAGCGCCGCAGGACGCTCATTTTTCGTAATGAGTTTGTCTATGGGCCGAGGATGGGCATGGGCAAATAGCAGCTTGACTGGCTGCTGCAGCAGCAATTACAGGAACCGAATCCTGTTGGCCGAAACTCGGCATATCCTTCAAAATTGCTACCTTCCTTGGCCAAGAGCGGGTAGAAGCCATCATGGGTTTTGCTGTGAAAGTATTTTTTTTTTGTTGACAGAGAAACTGCTCTGCATGGGGGCATTGATTTTCACAAACATTTTTGCTGTAATTGGGGTATGGTTTAAACTGACGAGTCAAAATTTAAAAATCAAATAAATTAAAAAATTTCTATAGATTGCAAAAAACCTTGAAAGGCATTAAATAAGCTTATTCTAAAACTTTAAAAGAAGTAAAGGTAATTTTTAAACCAATTATATAACTTTGTAATTAATGATGCTTAATTTGGTAATACATTTATTTGGCTTAAAGACAGTGGTTTTATATATACAGTTTTTTTTAATTTTTTTTTAATTTCCATCCATTTTCCATTTCCATTACTAAAAAATTTATTGTGGTAAGATGTCAGCCTTTTGTTGTTCCATATATGACGTAACCAGCTTCTTAAAACAATAAGCTGGCTTAATAAAATGCATTTTATGAGCGTAGTCGTGGAATTTAACTCACTTACGGACTTACCTATTTACCATTTGGAAAACTTCATAAAAAACAAAGGGTTTGTTATAAAAACAAACAGTTCGCAATGATATAAAACAGCCTATTAAATTGTTCCTCAGTTTCAAGCAGCGGTTGGAATGTATCTTTTTTTTTAATATGACCGTCTGGTTCTTTGTCCAAGACCTATAAAATGTATTTTATTTAAGCAGAGATTTCTGCGAAAAAAGTTCTGAATCTTGCGTTGCTGGTATATAAAACGCAACAATACTGTTTATCACAGGAAATCTTTACTTTTATCTCGTATGATAACTTTATTGAAGCACAGAAGGCTGTAAACAATTTGTATTCTTTAGTGAGGGTATATAAAACGCAACAGTTCGGCTAAGCACGGCAAGTCTTTGAGCACACGCCAAGGAAGAAGCGGAAAAGGAAGCGCGCTCACACACACACACACACAGTGCCCAATCGTCCTGGGGGGTCTTATGTGTGTGTAAATGGTGTGTGTGAGCTTGTTAGGAGTTGCGCTGTCGCCTGGCACCTTCCTGTTGCCACCTTCCTGTTGCCACCTTCCGGTTGCCATTACACACTGAGCATTTGCTATAAATAATTTGGTCTCGATTTGAAGTGTGAGCCGTGATAATGAAATCCCCTTGATTAGCCACCAAAATCGGTGGGGGAATATCGGGGCAAAGCGTTCTGTAGACGGAACTGCAGCAGGTAGTCAATCAGTCGCACTGCGCTTTTAATTAACACCCACATACCATTCGGTCCTTTTGACCGCAGCTCAAGTGGTCCTCATTAGCTCACATTTAGAGATTTAATTTAATTGCATCGAATTGGATTCGCCTGATCTTTCCCTTGGCGCCGTAGGTGTCCTCGTGTGCGTAAGTGTCCTCCTGCAATTAGATTAATTGACTTTCTGATGCCTCACCTTGGCACCAGAAGTGGCTGTAGCAGGAGCTGGAGAGCAGGAGCAGCTTTATATGGATTTTATGCTGCCTTCAATGAATTGCCGTCAGTGGCCTTATAAAAACGGACAGCGAAATGGGCCAGAACCCATGTGTAAACTGTTTTTTATGACACCGTCGAGATATGCGCACCAACACACACACACATACACCTTTGTGCTGTTTAGTGAATGCGAAATGGCCCCGGCCATTGTCTGCATTTCCCATTCTGATTTACAACCCAAACACACATATGACATTCGCATGTGCTCCGCAAATCTCAGTGGACCATTTTTACAACCTGACCCGGCTTCGACCTGAGTACTAATGGAAGCAGCGCAAGTAAATCATGCAAATATATATCATATCAACTGTACAATGGGGCCTGTCAATCGATGAAGCATCTCGTTAGAAAGGTATTCAGGGGCGAATCATCAATCAGCTTACGCGTCGAACAACGCAGCTAAGGTACAATTGAACTACTTGGAGTCAAGAAAAGATGACCAATATGATATTCAATTACCATATAGAACTACAAACTTAGCAAACATGAAAGAAATGCAAGCAAAACCTCATTTTTTTGAATAAGCGAATATGAACTCTTATTTTTAGATGTTATACTAAATAAAATATTTACTATATTAAGTGCAAGAAATTTTTGAATCAATTTCAACTTATATAAACAAGTTAATAAGGTAGGACAGTAAAAAGGCACATTCACCATAAATATTTATGATTAATTAGTTTCACCAGCTGACCTAAGTCCATTGATATATGCATGTTTATTATTTTCCAATTAAAATAAAATTATAGCAGAAAAGTATAAGTTGATTACTTATTCAGGAACATTAACATAATTTCCTTTTTATAATTAAAAAAAGTTTATAAGCCCAAA